GCTTTATTTTTATTCCGTCAAAAGAGACTCCTTACTGTCTTCCCACTGGTCCAAACGTATCCTTGCCTTATCAACCTGATAAAAAATAAAACCCCAATATATTAACAGCTTTCCTAAAAGAAAAAAAATTCTAAAAAAGAAAATGTTTTCCTTCGAAGAATAACAGGGAAGTGTTTGTCATATCAACATTTAAAAAAAGTGTAGAAATGGCAGTGAAATAATTTAAGTACTTTTAATAAATCTTCATTATGTATTGATTTATTTAGAATGTTTAATTAATTTTGTAAACATTTATGCACTTTTTTTCTTTCAAGTGGATCTGCAATTCTACAACCAATGGAGGACTAATAAATAAATTCTTAACTTAATAAAGACTTGAATTTTACAGCATTAATGTTAGAAAAACAATGCTAACTAGAATTAGAATGTGATTAGCCAACTGTTTAAATAATTTAATAGTAATTTTTTTTCTTTAAAAATAAAAAGTCTTGAGTTCAAATTGTATGACATGCAGATAGAATGAGATAAGAAATGAGAAATAATTATTTTTCATTGTGTAACCAACGGAAAAAAAAAAAAGAATGTGACTAATGAAGATGTTGAAACTACCTCTTTGACCCAATCTGTACGGAATGTGACATACAGTAGGATTATAGTCTGCATGACAGTCCCACCAATCATCCCGGACCATATTCCCTATACAAACACAACCATATAAACAGACCTAGCATTAATGTTATGGAGGTTCTTAAGTATGAAAGAGACCCATCTTGGGGCTCTTTTATGTGTTGTTTGGTTTGTTACCTTGGCACCAAAATCAAACTTGAATCCAAGAACACAGCCTAGTGGGATGCCAATTAAGTAATAGCATCCAACATTAACATATGCAACAAATGCTTGCCATCCACAACCCACAGCCACACCTTCAAAATCATTATCTTCTTTTAGTTATGGAAATCCAAGACAAATTAAAAGGCAAAAGGAGATTATCTTTTCAATTTTAGGTAAGGATTGAATGTTAGTTCAGAAACAGTGTAGATCCCTATAATAACCATAATACAAAGGCAGATCAGGAACTACAGATCCTGTTAATTAAATTAATTCTGTGTTTGGTAATCGGATTTTAATATTAGTAGATGTATGGCACTGGATTTGTCACACTTTGGTTAATGTATTGGAGGTAACCTTGTAATAACCCGGCGCCGACAGAAAATGCCAATTTGAGTACAAAAAGACCAAAATACCCTTTAATGTGATTTAATATTAGTGGATGTATGGCATTGACTTGGGTATTATTATGGTCACCATCATTATTGTTAGGACTCATTAAATCAGTTAAATTTTTATGTTAAAAATAATAGTAATTAAATTAATATATATTATTTAATAAATTAAAATTAATTTATAAATAAATATTTTTAAATATTATAATTAATTATTTAAAAAATTATAAGCAATATTAAATACCTTAATAAATTTATTGGTATCCATAATCTCAACCCATTGACTAATGTAGGTTTATACTTGTCATAAATCATAATCCCGAGCTTTCAAGTACTGTTAAAAAAAAAATCATAATCCTAAGCCAATAGAAAAAGCTTGTTTGGATTTAAAAAGACTAAAATATTCTCATTGAATCTTTACTGTATTACTCATGAAGGGCATTTTAGTCTTTTTAATCCAGGGCTGACATTTTTTTATCTTTGGCCGGACTTGAATATGTGTTTTCATTTTGGTTTTTTTTTTTTTTTTTTTTTTTGAACATATTTGCAAGGGGTGGGTTTCGAACCCAGCTCGGGGAGGGGGAATGTACCGAGGTGGCTATTGCCACTAGACCTCAAGGCCCAGGTGCTTTCATTTTGGTATTTTGGTTGCCGTCTTCAATGATATTCTCATGGAAAGCTAGAATACTAAAATCATGTCTTTTCCCAAAGGACCAATGGAGAAGGATATAATTGATAAAGTAGTTGAGAACAAAGAAATTGTTACCTGACAAAACAGGTTGAACACCATTTAGGAGGATGGAGACGGCGAGGTAGGGAGAGAGTTCTGAGACAGCATCAGCAACAGTTGAACCACCAGTGAAAGCATAGCTCATGACATGGCGCAAAATAAGTGCAAGAATGGCAAAGATCAAGGCAATGATAAAAGAGCTTAATGTTACTATCACAACAGAAAATGCTGCTGATTTGGGATGCCCTGCCCCCAGCTCATTGCTGACCCTCACACTGTCATTAATTCAGGAACAACAAGGTTCAGGTAGGAAAAAAATGGAATTCAATTGGGAGGTGAACACAAAAAAACCAAACAACAAGAACCGCTTACCTAGCAGCTGCATTGAAACCCACTGCAATCATGTACACCCATCCAACTATTGTCATGCTGCAGGTTTTAACATAAACCATAGGAATGAAACACCAAAATTGGAGAAAGAATCAATATTAGTGAAACCATACGGTGCTTACCAGACGGATAGAGCATCCAAGGCAATTTCAGCATTTGGGAGCAACCCAGCAATCAGTACTATAATCTGGTAGTACCAAGTCTCCAGGCACAGCATTACGGCTGAGGCGACTGATAGCTTCAAGAACTCGTATAGCCCTGAAAAGGCCTGGAGACTAAACCCTTGCCATGTGTGCTTGCACCTTTGACTCACCAAAATGTACACAAACTGAGCCCCAACTATGACCCACCATGAGAAGCTCAAAACCAAGGCCGCACCTACTAACCCCCATCCCAACTTGTATATCACAAGCCAACTTAGCAACAGATGCACTACAATTGTAGCTGCTGATATATATGCACTAGGAAACACAATGCTTTGAGCTTGGAGGAACTTTTGGATGGGAAAATTGGCTGCATAGGCAAAGATTTGTGGAATGAGACCATAAACGAACAGCGCTGCTGCAGATGCAATGGACTCTGTTTCTCCTAACAAGAGCAAGATTGGTTTGCAGAATGCATAGATGACTGTAAGTAGGATCCCAGTTGCCATGAGAAGGACGGTTGATCTTTGGAGATAAATCCCCAGCATCTCATACTTGTGAGCTCCATAAGCTTGCCCACACAGGGTCTCCACTGCGCTTCCCATCCCTAACTGTTATCTCAGTCAGTAATTTCAAAGAAATGTTAATTTATGAATTCTGAAAGTCTCTACTTGAGCTTGTGTATTAAGTAGATAAACCTTACCAGCAGTCCATATGCAAACATCTGGATGCCATTGTTACCAAGAGAAGCAGCAGCAAGTTCAAGATTGCCAAGATGACCGCAAAAGATTTGGGTGGACATGGAGATAACATTGTTGAGCAAGTAAACAACAACAGCTGGGGCTGCAAGGCGAAAGAGGACATTGAGTTCGATCCATGTAGCTCTCCTGAGACGCTGGAAGTATGGCAAACTCCCATCGGATAAAGTATCTTCAAGCAGAGAACTCAATGGCTCAGGTGAAGATGATTTGTGTTGTAACATAGGTTTCTCCACTTCAGTTTCTCCATAGCATTCTCTGATATCACTGGAGGCCATATCTCTGTGTCTCTAGGATGGAGAAGATACTAGGTTTCCATTGTGCTTAAATATTGATAAAGAGATCCTTAATCAAAATCGTCGGAGAAGTTTTTTTTGTTAAAGACAAGTTAGAGTGGGAAGCAAATGATGACTGGTAGTTGTCTTGTCAACTGCAACTAATTCTTTGGATGTAATTAACGTTATTTTGTTAACACCACATATTGTAATTTTATTAATTTATAAATTTTTTAAATAATTAATTATGATATATATAAAATATTTATTTATAAATTAATTTTTATTTATTAAAAATAAATATTAATTATTAATTATTTTTAACAATTAAATTAAAATAAAAATTTAATAATTTATATAATTTTAATTAATTTAAGAGTGATTATGACCATAATTACTTCTTTAACACCGTTATCATTGACTTGGAGCTCTTGCCTGAAAGAGAAATTCAATTTGAACTCTATTAAGTCCATTAAAAATGGGAAAAGGATATTGGTTAAACCCTTAATTTGGTTTCTAAACTATTATAAAGACTTCAATTTAATCTTTATTGTTTATTAATTCGTCACAAGTTAGTCACTCTGCACAAAAATAGTTGATGTGTCTATTAATTAATAATAAAAAATAATAATTTAATGATAAAAAATAATAATTTAACAATCACATGTCATATTAATAATAAAA